GCCGGGTGCGGATAATCAGTCATTTCCTCCAGCAACAGCATCCCTGCCAAGTTAAAAATCTTTTTCATCTTCGTATTACACTCTAGTACACTCACAGCCCTTGTTACCAGTCAGATTGTCAAAAAAAACCCTGCCTGATCTGACCAGTCTGTGGTTGCAGGAGTATCTCGCAGTGTTACAGTGTTTCTTCTAAGTGTGCCGGGAACTGGGAGCTTCATCGCGGCGGAAAAAGAGTCTGCTAAATGCACCAAAATGTAAAAAATTAAAATGTCAGAGTGAATTTTCAGAGCCACCAGGCAGCCAGCGAGGGGTGAGAAGCAGTTTTTCAAAAAAAAAAAAAAAAGCCCCAGTGGATTGAGAAGTGGGTCGGGTGTTTAGACGTCGTGCAGGGGGAGGCATTGCTGAAATGTCCGCAGCTAAAGTAGGTCGCGGTTAACCTTGATAAATCTCTTTATGACTAGAAGAGAGAACGGAGCCTCTGTAAAATACTACGTGGTCATTACTTTTCACCAGAAGAAAGGAAACCGTGGAGGAGGATAAACATTCGTTCTGTAAGGGTGTCGCGGTGATTGGACTGATTGTGCTTGCATTGGGAGACTTTGGTGGACAGACGAAGCTTTCCTTTTGAGGGAGGCGGGCGATTAAATGTCATAAAACCTCTCTGGTCTATTGTTCTGAGAAGTGGCCTCACAGTAACACAGGGCTGCATTGACTGGAAAAATAAAATTGATGTTTTTCTTTGCTCACTCGCCCCCATGGGAGCTGACTTTTCCCAGCACAGCGCCGCTTTTAGACCTTTATTTTCACTCATTTTTGTTGATTTGCTTTGTGTCATTCTTTTATTAGACACTCCTTTAGTGAGTAATAAATTAAATATACGTTAACTCGCCTCATCGCCAAGAAAACGACCTCCTATCAACTGATTGCGTTGCCGGGTGCTGCATTTAGTTCTCACTCTTTCTCTTCGACAATCCTCATTACGGTAAACAAAGTGAGCCTGTGCCGCTCGCGTTTGACATTTCCCTGCGTGAAATATCTCCCCGACACAAAGAGACTCCTCTCTTTATTGCCTGGTTGTGTGCTCGTGGGTGGAAGCCCTATTGTATGTCCTTGCACAATCGCTCGTGTAGGCTCGGGACTCGGTGACATTATCCGCTTTAGTGAACTCTGAGCTGCGACTTAGTCAGAAGATTGATTTCTCTTCTCTACCTCCTTCACATCCGCCATACTGCCAGCTAACACCTTTGGCACACCGAGCTATAGGCAGCCGTCCCGCACTGTCACCTCATTTCAGAGAAGTGATTGATTTGAGCTCCCAATGGCTGTATTTACAACGGAGCATTATATTTGCGGTTCAGACGGCTTGCAGCTTTTTTTCTCACACAGTGAAATGTTTGAGTGGAGCTGTTGAGGTGTTGCAGCTTGCCTTTGGCTGAAGAAAAAAAAAACCTGACAGGCTTTTTGTCTTGCTTTTTTTAAACTTAAGCGCTGCCATATTTAGAAATACATCAGTTTAATGTCAATTTACATGCGGCTGAGTTTGTCTTGTCTGTCTGTAAGCCTTTGTATTTGATGGAGGCTCTGCAGAACTTGATATTAACTGCTTTATTCAGTGCTTTGCTCAAGGGACTGTGGGTATCATAAATGAGAAAGCAGCTCATCTTTCCTGTCAGCGAGGGGATCAAACTACGCATATGTTAGTAACTAGAGCTGCAACAGTTAGTCAGTTACTCAATTAACGAATATTTATCGGAATTTTTCTTATAATTTAATCTTTTTTGGTCATTTTTCCAAAGTACCTTTGGGTTTCGAACTGTTTGGACTGTGGGAAATTATATTCTGACGCATTATAGACAAAACTGAGAATAATCTGCACATGAATTATTAAAAATAAAACGTTAGTTGCAGCCTCATTGTGAACTTCAGTGAACTAAAGTCTCCTAAAAAGTCAGTAGTCTCAGAAAAATCGAGATGATCTCGTATTTATGGCTCGTTTTTTGTCCAGCTTCATCAGCAACACAAATACAATGCTTGTGCTTGTTTCCCTCGCTTTCTGTCTCCTGGCCACTCGTTATCATGAGTTGCATGTAATGCAGTCGATACGTGGAGCTCGGGCTTATCCTGCTGCTGCGTTCATTGTAAATCACTCGGAGGAAAAATGGAAATGTGAATGCCAAGCACCTCGATGCTTATTCCTTTGGGATCAGCGCTGCCGTGGCTAATGCTGTTACACCAGAAGTGGCTAATGAGCAAACCTTCCGCTTTACCTCCGCATACCTTCTCCTTAATTATCGCCTTCAGCTCCCACGAGGGCCAGTGAGGGGACGCAGTGAGGGGAACGGGAACGCGCAGTGAGACGCGCATGAGGGGAACCAGTTGAGGGAACGCCGGTGACGGGGCGAGTGAGCCGGGGACGCAGCTGAGGGACGCAGTGGACGCGGGGACGCAAAGTGACGGAGGGGGACGCAGTGAGGGAACAGCGTTTGCATTCGGTCCAGGAAGACTTAAGAGGCAGCCGCCACATGATGGACACTTCAGCTGCACAAGGGGCCTGGGATGGGGAGTGGAGATTGAAGAGCTAGGAGAGAGAGAATACACAGGGAGAGAGATAGACACAGAGGAGAGGAGAGGGAGACGAGCTACAGCAGAGAGAGATAGACACAGAGCCGACGAGGAAGGAGGGAGAGATCCCAGGAGGGATATGGAACATAGAGAACGAAGAACGGAGAGAGATAACACAGAGAGAGATGACACAGAGAGAGACGAGAGAGAGAGAACGACGAGATACACCAGAGAGAGATAGGACACAGAAGAGACAGAGCAGAGACAGAGGAGACAGAGAGAGAGGACAAGAGAGAGGAAGACAGGAGAGACCAGAGACACAGGAGGGAGAGAGATACACAGAGAGAGAGAGACAGAGAGAGAGAGAGAGAGAGAGATGGATGGATAGATGGATAGATACATTAAAATACAATAGAATAAAATACTTAGAAAATAAATAAAAAAAGATAAATAGGAAGGTACAAAGAGTTGTAGTTGCAAGATAATGGTGACACGGTAGTGTTATTGTTAATAACAGTATATTATACTATAATAATATGTATATAATAATAATATGTATATATAATATGACTGAACAGATATACATGTATACACATAGATATTATACATTAATATTGATATAATGTAAACGTGTCACATTCAGCCTGTGAAAGGTTATAAAGTTAATAAAGTTAAACATTTAGTTAAAGTTATACATCGCGGTAAAGCATCCGGTTATCTAAATCCTCTTGAGTTCAATACACTACATATTGTTTGCATTTAATTCCTTCAGGGTTTTTGATTCGTTTGAAATATAGTCATTTTTCCGTGGCTCGATTTTTGCCAGCTCAAGCCGCGATTTTGAACTCACGAGCTTTGCCTTCACACTCTTGTTTACTTTAATTAGCGTGCAGTCAGTGGAGTCAAGTGTGTATTTTATTTGAGCAAACATAATGTACAATTAAAAACAAGCTGAGAAAGAGATTTATCTACATAAAAGCGTTTTCAGAAAGTCTGTAGGAGGAAGAGGAATTAAGACCAATGATGTAATTTCCCCTGTGGTGGTATATTTATGTTTACGTGCATGTTTTTAATGTCTACATGCAGTTTGGTCCACATATACTCGCATGTTTCTTTGTAAATATGTGTGCAACAGTTATTTATGCTTTTTTAACATGGCTTGCTTCCCGCCTATTCGACTATTCTCTCTCTCCCTCTCTCCCTTTTTGTTGCTTTTGCCATTTGCTCTTGTTCACACAGGCAGCAGCCCCACAGTTGCACCTGTTGCTGTGAAATAGTTTGGGGGCTTTATGGGAAATGGATTTGACGAGAGAGAAAATGCCGTCAGTGTTGCTAAGAGGCAGAGTGACCTCGTCTGCCAGTGAAGTAGCCACTCTCCTCGCTCTTCCATCTGCAGCTGTTAATGTCGTTGAAAAGAGACCTGCTGCGCTTTCAGGGCCCGGGCTGGCACTAAATGGCTTTACTTAAGCAGGCATTTTATTGAAAATTACATGATCTCCCAAAAGGTAACCTCCATTACATAAGCTAAGCTCGACTTTTTGGAAGCTACTTTAGACGCGATCGTAGTGAATAGGACACTTGAATAATGATCACATAAATTGGGGCATTATCTTTATTTATCTAGCACTGTTTTGTTAAATTGTGTAGCACTTTTGAGACTTTAAAAGCAATAATAAATAAAAGCCGGTAAGGTCAAGAGTGCAAATCGTTGTTGGCTGGAACATTTTTTACGTTTTTAAGTAAACAATAAGCTTCTACGTCGGCCCAGGAGGGTTTCTTCAAATGTTTTTATCTGACAGGCCCTAAATAGATGCTCAGTAATCGCACAAAATCCAAAATCCAGCTTCTAACTCCATCACCAAACCCAGTTTAACACAGCAAGACGAATGTGATGGGCAAAGAAAAAGGCATTTCATACCACTTCCATGTATACCTAATGGAGCAAAGACAGCTTGCATGATTAGAGCGGCAGGCGCTGAGAACAGTGCGTGACTGCAAACTTCTTTGACTTGAATCAGCTGCCTGAGGAAGTTCATAACCATTTGACACACACACTCGCTGCCACGCACAGTCCTTTTCCAGGGAATGAGGATCTGTTTTTCACACAATAGAGAGAAATACGCTGACAGAAATCAGAAAAAGACAAAGCACTGACACCAGAACCTACTTATTACACCTACAGAATTATTCATCGGACCGGTTTCCTGTGTGTCCGAACCGCCAGGAAGCAAGCAAACGGAGGTCGACTGTCTTCAGTCTCGTCAGCAGTCTAAACTGGACTAACTCCCTGACAGGTGATGAGAGGCGGCAGCAGCAACGCTAAACTGACAAGCTGTCGTGCAGTGTTTTCCCCTGGATATCGGTTTGCAAAAAGCTGCTGCCTGCCTTCATCTGCAGGAAATCAGAGTCTCCTTTATTTTGGCGGGGGAGGGAAGTCGATTGACTCGTTTCAGTTGCGTTTGTGAACAGGAGTTTGGTTTGTGAGTTGTTCGATAACTTTATTTTCTCAGTCGTGCCTGGCTGGTTTTTATTGTTCATCTTAGAAAAGCTTTTATGTTTCATTGCTGTATTGACTCTAGAGCACTTTAAAAAAAAAGTACCACAGAAGTGTATTTTATTATTACTAAATGTTTTACGGCTACACTATATCTCATACTTTGAGGCTGTAAAGACATGTCCTTCCAGGAGCTATTGATACAAAACTAGATTATATTCTTTGTCAGTGACACTCAAGGAAAATAACTTTATCTCCCAGCCACAGTGGCTTGTAAATCTCCAAATTCAAAAACAGATAGAGTACGTTTTTTAACCCTTTTCTCCTCCAGGAAAAGCCAACAATGCATGGAAACTGTCTTACCAATCACACTCCTTCTGCTAAAAACTAACGAACGTCCTCTCCGTCCTCTTCAGGTGCCATCCTGGGACGCTCGGAGACACAGGAGTGCGCCTACTACAACTCGAGCTGGGAGAAGGAGCGCACCAACCACAGCGGCATCGAGCCCTGCTATGGCGATAAAGACAAGCGAAGGCACTGCTTCGCCACGTGGAAGAACGTCTCTGGTACCGTGGAGGTCGTCAAGCAGGGCTGCTGGCTGGATGACATGAACTGCTACGACAGGTACGCAGCCACATCTTAGTTTGAAACCTTCCTCGCCTGTTTTCAGTCAGAAATACCTGTTTTGTTGTTTTGGTATCGGGAAAACATCAAATCTTGATTTCACAGGAGTTTCGTTGTCATTTCAAAACACTTTAGGTAGAAAATGAACTTCAGTTGAACTGAATCATGGTCCTGGATCTGTTATTTGGGATTTTAAAGGCAGCACCAATACCAATGAATTCATAAAGTCCTCGAGGACAACTGAAGATGATTGAAGTCCTTGCTTAAAAGCTGCCCATTCATTCCTGACTGAAGAGCAGATAATGAGAGAGGCTCGAGTTTTTGCCCCTCTGTGCACTTCCCCAACTAAATGATTCCACAAAGCTGCATTTTTAATTACCAAGGACGTTATATTTACTTTGTGAATATCCACTATCCAAACCTAAAACCAGTGAACAGATATTAATAGGTGGTGTTATCATAGTTCCTTCCTTGCTGGAACATTAACCTGGCATGCTGGTTCGAGCAGCTTCTGCTTGTGTTTTCCTTTTGATTCTCGAACGATAAAGTTGTTAAGATTCTGCTGCCCGCACAGTTTGCGTACCTCTGCTCAGACGGCGCCGCCTCGCCTCCCTGGAGAGGCCAGAGCAAGTCGAGGGCGGCCGCCACTTCCTTTGGCTTTTATCTGATGACTGTGTGAGTGTGAAAGAGAGAGAGTGTGTGTGATTGTTAGTGTACATGTGTGTTTGTTTTGCATGTGAGTGTATTGGCGTGTGTGGGAGTTATTTTATAAATGGTTTTTTCTTTCACATCTTCGGAGAGGGATGAGATGAGTGTGTGTGTGTGTGTGTGTGTGTGTGTGTGTATATGGTCCAAAGTGTGTTTATGCTTTTTAGAAAACAGCGTGCGATGATGCAGATTATGTTTTCGTGCGTTCGTCTGTGCACTCACTCGCACTTAAAAAATAAAATTGCTCCCACACTCCCTTTGCGGTGTGCAGAGAGGAAAGGGGAGAAATTTATGTTGAGTGTGTGTTTCTCGTTTCTAACTCCCACTTCCATGTCCTCTGCAGTAATGAGTGTGTGGAGAAGAAGGAGAGTCCCGACGTTTTCTTCTGCTGCTGTGAAGGCAACATGTGCAATGAGAGGTTCCTGTACGCCCCCGAAGCGCCCCCACAGACCGACCCGCACCATTCAACCGCCTACAGTATGTACACACACACAGCTAAATGAATGACAGTCACACCTAGAGTTGATTCTTTGGTTAAAACCACAATTACAGGTGAACCAGAAGTTCTGTACTGAAACACTCACAGGCAGGGACGGGAAGTACTTATTTCTAAAGTTAGATGTAACTCTTTTTCTATCCCGAAACACTGACAACATCAAGGCTTTTACTTTGAAGAGCTAGTCCTCCACAAAGTGTGTGATGTAAAAGTACTTGTTCTCTGGAGATTTGCCAGCTACTGAGCTTCCAGGTGTTTATGTCTTCAGAAATATTTTAAGGGTTTGAGCAGCGATATTAAAGGTAACAAAAGACATGAACAGACATGTTCTTTATTTAGTGCAGCCAGAGCTGAAATGTTCTCACCTTGTCAAGATAAACTAAATGTTGCCATTTAAACTGACCTTCTCATTAGATAATTTTTAAGATAATATATATATATATGTATAAATATGTTGTTAAATGGGCACAAAAGGTTTTAAATGCGGCTGCTGCTTTTGCCACTAACCAACTTTTATTGTAAGAATCTGACAACATTTTCTCTCCGATGTGTGTCTAACCAAGTCTCACTTAAAGAGAAGTCTCCTTCTAAAATCTCAGGGGATGTGAGGAATTGTTCCAGGTAGGGATGTACCGTCTTTTGTTTTACGTCAGTTGTCATACAGTTGTTTTTTAGTCTCGAAGCTTGCGTGCACGTTGCTCGGAGGAGAGACAGGCAGCGGTGGAGAGCCACACACCCCGCAAGCTGACAGCCAGTAAAAATAGTTTATTTCTGTAATCCACACAAAAGATGCACAGACTACGACAATAAACGCTCAGCACAATACAGTTCATTCAGATAAATCAGGGAAAACCTGCACCAAACAAACATTGGAGGACACGTTTAAAAGGAGACATTTCCTTGAGACGAGGTCAGACGAGGGTTTGTTGTTTTATAGCCTCCTTTTGTTATTTTGTAAATATATCTCAGCTGCAGCTCTCTCCCTCAGTACTGTACCAAATGTTGTGTTCAACCATACATATACTGAGAAGATAAGCTAAGAACAGAGACAATTAACAAAGGAGTTATTTACCACAGACTCTATTTTCAGGTATATAGACTACTTGAAAGTATGTCACTGCTTTGACCTTCACATAACAGCTTGTGTAAAAAATTTGGTGTCCTTAGCTGTCATCACTTCACAGCTAAGTCTCTTCGTATTCCTCTTTTAATCGGACTCTCTGAAACCTGCGGACACCCTGCGTAGAAAAACTTTCCCGAATCTCTTTGACAAACACCCGGAGAGTCCCAGGATGCAGCTGGTGCAACCCCATCGGCCCCTGCCCGTTCTTCCCTTTGCCTCCCCTCCTTTTCACCCCTAACCCCCGCCCCGAGGACAGCAGCGGCGGTCGGCGTCCGAGCGTCGGCGCTTTTGACAGCGCTGCCGAATCACACTCTCACACCTTGTGATGGGAGGACAGGCTGAGCCAGCAGGCGTCACCCAGCGACTCTCGCAGGGGTCGGACACAGTTCAGAGCTCCGTTATTTTTGGCAGGCAGATTACGTTATGTCACGAGATGGATTTGCTAATCCAGCTGCATTTGTTTGTGTGTGTGTGTGTGTGATCCCTAAGCACAGTGGCAGGAAGCTGTAAGCAGGGTTAGTGCTTCACTTGGAGATGATGTAGCACAATGTCAGGCCAATCGGTCATCTTCTTTCTTAATTTTCCCTTTCTGTTTTCACAATGTTCCCTCATTTTTTATTTACTTACCCACTTTATTTTTGTTTCTATGAAGACAAAACAAGCCTTTTACAAGTACACCTTGTTAATTTTTATTCTTTCTTCCACTGTCCTCTCTTTCTCTCCCCTACAGCCACCTCCAACCCATTTTCCCAGAAGCCCCAGCTCTTCAGCACTCTGCTTTACTCCCTGGTTCCCATCATAGGCCTGGCTGCCGTCGTCCTCTTCTCTTTCTGGATGTGGAGACATCACAAACTGGCCTACCCGGCTGCCCTCGTCCCCACACATGTAAGTCTAATAAGAATGAGAAAATGAAAACTTTTTCTGTCTGTCGGCAGAGCATTTCCAGAGGTCACCTGTCAATCAAACAGTGTGGCCGAGGCCGTGGTGTCCTCTTTCTTCGAAGTTGCAGTTAGAGTTTCTTTTTTTGTCTGTTCAGCCTTTGAGTCCCACTTCATCTGTTAATTGCCAACAAAGGGGAAATGTAAAACGCATACGTTTCTGTTTGGCAAATTATTTCCTTACTGTCGCTTGGGAATTAACTTACAAATAACCAAGATAGTTCATAAAATCTCAAGTATTTATTTCATGAGTTGTTTTTTTCCTACACGAGTCGATCTCACTAGTTGTTGCTGTGAAACGAAGACGTCCTGTTTGAGGTACGATACAGTAAAACCGCTGTGCTCTTCCTTCTCTATTTAACCAACCTTCAACTTCACTGCTGATCTAGTTTCTCGGTGGGCTGAAACAGCCTTGGCCTTTCCTGCCCCGTGCAGCACAGGGACAGAGCTATGGTCAACCAGAACAGACACACTGTGCGCAGAGTTTATGTTTGGATAATTGCTTTTTCAGTTTCTTCTTTCAAAGTCATGTAGAAGGATAAGATGAGCCCTGGTTCTGTCTATTTCTTTTTCCATGGCACTTTTTTTAAAGGAAACATTTCTCAGACTTGCTTTTAATGCAGCAAACTGACGGTGAACTGACTGACTGTCTGGAGATTACTGTAATTGGGATGGTTAATGCTGTGCCTGATAGACATTTAATCACAGAAAAGTGCTCAAACCTTTAAATGTCAAGTGTTCACGTTAAAATAATTGTTGGCAAAATAACGATTTCACCCAAAATTTGGATGTGTTCTTGTTCACCTCTCATTACTCCTCATTTATTGACAGAATGATTTCTTCTTTTCCTATTCTGACATGTTTTTTCCATTACTGCTTAGTTGGAACAACCTACCATCTACACTTTTATTCATATTCATGTCTCCACTTGAATCCGTCGGTTTCAGCTGGTTTCATCACCTTTGTAAACCTTTTAAACATTTCCCAAATCCCCTTTCTTGTAGGACTGAAAGAAAGACTTTTTTTCCAGGTTCCTGATTAATTTAGTTTTGTATGATTCTGAGGCGGTTTTAACCCGACGGCAGCAGAGATATATTCTCTGCTGCTTGGCAGCAGGGGGAAAAGAAAACCCATGCAGCGCTTCCACCGTATGGAAGAGGAGTCAGGGGCCTCTGCATTATTGATGAGGCTTTATATAGGCAAACAAAACTAAACACAGAGACGCTCGCAGCTCTGCCTCAGAGGATGATGGTGGTGGTGGGTGGGTGGGGAGTGCGGAGGAGGGAGTGAAGAGAGACATGCTATTCTCTCAACTTAGTTATTGTATTTGCACAGTGCTAAAGCATTGCAGGGAAGAGATAAAAAGACAGTGACACGATACAGTCAGGAGACAGATGCTAATGTGGCATGGAAAAACAACACTGTGAGAGTCTTATGAAACATCTTACCTGGAAACATATAAATGAATAAATAAACAACATAAAACAAAAGAAGATCATGACCAACGAAGAGTGGATCAGATAACTAATGATGCCATAGTGGGGGGAAAAAAACAAACAGCTAAAATATTCATAAAATCGCAAGGGGAGGATAATGTAATAAAATAGCCGGTGTGGAACAAATGAAGTCATGCTGGATGTGGATAATCATGTGTGTGCACAAGTAGTGTATGAATGAGGAGGTGTGCAAGGACGGGAGCAGGAAAGGAGGTCACTCGTACAGCGATGCATCTAAAAGTCGTCTCGTATGCTCTTCTGGAAGGAGGTGATGCGGTAAAACCCGCTCGGCTGCTGCTCGAAAGAGGCTGAAACGAAACACAGATGCAATCACACAGAATTGTTCTGGCTTGTTTTGTAATCGATTTAAACCGGGTTTTTCAATATAGAAGATGGACAAAGATATTCAGCAGGAGGAGATTATTTCTGTCTTCTCTTTTTGTGGTTGTGGATGTTGAAGAATGTGTTTTTGTGTCGCACCGTGGGGCGGCATTTAGAAAAAATAAATAAAAAGCAGAGGTTACTCCGACAAACAGTTCGCTTGACTCAAGTCATCGAGGACTGCTTCTAGGAATTCTTGGCACTGTTGAGAGTAAGAAACACACCGCAACCCCCGTCCCTTCCACCACAGGTTACCGAATAAGGCCACGCAAACATGTGCCTGATGCCTCCCATGTGGAGAAGAATGCATTTCGGGGCTTTTTCTGGTCAATAAGACATCTTACTGCTAGTATAATACTGATTTATGGCATGAAGCATCAGAATGTAATCCCAAACTTTAACTTTAAAGGTCCAGTGTGTAACAGATCACCTGGATGTAGGAATCGTTGAGTTTTCGTTGCCTTTAGAATGAGACGTTTTTATCTACAGATGCCGCAGGCTGCCTTTAATGTTCAACCGCCATGTTTCTACAGTAAGTTTCACCATCATTTCTCCTACACGCCTCACAGCTCGTTCTCATTCCCAGGTCGTCAGATACAGACGCGAGCGGTGTTCAGTGTCACTAAATCCTACACACTGGTCCTTTTAAGTCGCTCTCTGTGAAAACGTCTTTTGCAATTCTCTTCATTAATGCCTCTAAAAACCCTTTTCAGATAAAACTTTTGTAATTTCTCTATATTTTTTGAGATGTTTTGACATCTGTTGCATGAAGAACTTAATATCTGCTTTCAGCGACTCAGTGAAACATCAAAAACAAGATATTTTTAGATTTACAAGTTAGTGGACTGGACTTATGGACCATATATGCTTTATTATGTTTGTTTCTGTACATTCGTCAGAGCCTAATGCATTGGATTAAGTCATGTATTTTTAATGTGACAGTAACATATTGCCCACAACTGTTGCTAGTCAGATTTTAAAGCATCCAGTGCGGACGGGGAGTCATTACAGCTGTTCATGATAGGTGTTGGTGGTAATACATCATGTTTTTTTGTTTTTTTCCCTTCTCCTTAACATCAATGTGCCAATTTGCAACGCTGCGTCTTTTAAAATGGGCAGAGATCATTTAATTTAAATCTCTAATTAAAAGGAGCAGGAATGTGATTATACCATAAACAGGCAGCTGCAGTCTGAACAGAGCCAGAGACAAAGACGTAACATATGCACAGTGCTGATTTCTGATTTCCTTTAGCTTCTATTTTTAGTTAGTTTGTTGATGTTTTCAGGACACTATGGATCTGAGCCTTGAACTTCCTAATACTCTGTTTTCACGTTGTGCAATCGGGACCAGAAGCTAAAGGACTGGATTGTGAAATTCAACCAACTAAAGATGAATGAGTACATAATTACAAACTGAAAAAACAGATTTAGACCAACAGCGCAAAAGTTGTCCTGCTGTTTGGCTTTCTTCATTTTTTAGGAGTTTATAGTCATTAAATGAAACAAATACATCAAGTTGCTGTCATTATTTTCTTCGCAAGGTAATGACACATGCAGTCTTCAGGATGCAAAAGTAATTGTTCTCACTTAATGATCATTAATGGACTCATTATCACGGCTCTGTTCTTTTTTTTTTTGGAGAAAAACCAACGTTGTGTAAAGAGCTCCTGCTGTACTTTCACATATAGTTGTCACCTTTACACTGAGTTCATAAAGCCGGGTTTATCACATCAAAATATTTTTCATTTTCTTGCACAGAGTTACTGTACACACTCAACCTTTTTAAAAAGATTAAATCCAGTGCGACACGTAGAAAATTATATGTAGCAAAGCAACTTTATTGCACACTGTCGTTATTTTCTAATCGTGGCCCATCAGTGACTGCAGGTTTGCCACCAACCCTCCATTATTCACACCACAGTGAGAAGTGGAGGCAAACTGGAATTGATTCTGTCTGAGTACACAGACCCACAGCTTTCACACAGAGAGGCCTGGAGCACTTAAACATAAGTCTGGCCATTTTTCGACCTGGACCCTATTTTCTTATCTCTGTCCATCTCACAGATTGATTCTGACCAAAATCTCATCAATTGCTTTATTATGGAGCTACTTACTTCTTATTTGTCTGGGTGCAGCTTTCCAAAGAACTCCTAAAGTGCCAGTGGATATCCGGAAAAAGCCCCCAAAACCAAGCAACACTTTGATCGCTCCAAAATGATTTTGGCACATGTTTTTGAACAACTGCAGATGTTGTGCACATGTGTGAGATGCCGATGAAATTACGCATTATAGAGCGAACTGTGAGCAGGTTGATAGAGGGGTTTGGGGTTGGTTGTTACATCCAGAGCTGCTTTCAGTCTTTGAGTAATTTGCTTTCTTTAGCTACCAAAATTTTATGTTTTGTTAGTGTTACCCAAAAAAAGCTAAATTGTTGATTTGGTGCAGTCTGAACTTCTTCGATTCACTTTCTCAACCCATTTCTGTCGTCTGTGGGTACGTTGGAACAGTTTCATGCATCTATCATCGCGGTGCTGTCGCTCTGAACCTTGTTTTTCTGTTTTTGTTTTGTTTCACTGTGATCTATGAGCATTTTTTTTGGGTGCCTTTTAACAGAGCGTTCAATCTATTTTAAGTTGCTCTCCTCAAGGGAGTCGTTTAAGTTCCTAAGATTGTACCATCTTCGCTTTTGTGCCATGCTTATTAACACCTTCTCTGATCCATGTGGGATTACACCACAGAACTATACCTCTCGAAGCCTTGGTCTGGAGCACAAAGGGGGACCAAAAGGTTTCTCGGGGACAAACAATCGTCTCCTACCTTTTTATCTGCCTCTATTTCATCCACTAACTGACAAAAAATAATTTCTCTGTTTGCTTCTTATGTTCCTTTTCAACAAGCACGCCTTTCACATTATGGTGGAGGTAAGAGCAGTTCAATTGAAGTTGAAACTCTATTAGTTCTTCCCCCTTTTTGGGTTCAGAGCTTGGTATGAATTCTCCACCTCAATCCCAGACCACCATTTTGTTTTTCTCTCTGTTATTTTCGACATTTTTTGGTTGTTTTTTTTTGTTCTGCCTGGGTTAATTGCATGGATGGATTTTTGCTCCCTGCTGAAAATGTATTGTGCATGGTGGAAACTAGCCAACATGAATGCAACCCCCCCTTTTTTTATTTTTATTTTTTTAAACATTTTTCTTATGAATGTCCACCTGTAATGTTTATGTAACACATTGTGTGTGACATGACCCAGTTTTCAGAATGGTATCTGCGAGACTTTTGGCTCAGAGAGCAGAGAGACCGAGCGGAAGGTCTTTTCATCTGAAAAGCAGACTGAGGAGGAGTGCAGATACATTTTGCATAAGTAGGAGAATTGCCTCTTACCTAGAACATTTTTCAAGTCCGAGTGTGAATTACTTAAGTACAAGAGGAGCGTAAGCCTTTGCAAATGTACTTTGGCTCAAAATTTATCACATTGGGTGGAAGTGTAGCTGCAGACATCACTGAAAATCCCTATGTAAAGAAGAGTTTGTAGTTTACTTGATAAAACCCAAAGGTTTGTCAAAGGTAATGTCAACAATTATTCTGTTATATCTACGTACACTTGCGTTCACCTAAACCCCGGACAAACCAGACCTAAAGGACTTATTCTGATGTAACAGATGAAGGTGTAACCCGATTAGGCAATGGGAGATGGTTGAGGGTTGGGAAGAACGGCGTGAAGCAGCAGATTCTGTTTTCCTGTTTCCTGTGGTCTGCTGACTAAGTGTAATGCGCCCCCGTTTGAGGCCATGGCGCCCTGTGATCGGACAAGGGATCCGGTGACTCCCGAGGGAGGCCGGGCCGGGCTGGGCCGCCTCGTCAGGCCAAAAAGACCGGAAGACAGACAAGAGTTTCCAGAAACAATGCAGACACAAAGAAAGAAGAGTCCTGCGCTAACTTGTTTGCTGTGTCGATGGTTAACTACCTAAACGGTAGTTGAAACGTGATATTCAAGGCACCAGTAAGTTTTTAATTCAACAGTACATTCTCGTATATATGCGAAACAACATTTTAAAACAGATGTAGAGAAGAATTTCTGTGAAACTATTGATTCGTTATGTTGGTTTGTACAATGTGTTCTTGAAGATGTTTTTCGAGGTGCCAACTGGGGACCATTTGGGCCCACTCTGTAATCCAACCTCAGCACCATTGTGGGTAATTTTCCCCATCATTTGGCTGGCATTCGGTGTGAAAGCAATGTGTAGAGACAGCAGGTCTGCCTCACAGCTCTGTGTTAGAGGGAACAAGCTTTAAGTAAACACACCAGTTCCCACCAGTGAAAGGCGAGGACGCCCTGTGCCGTATTTCTACCAAAAACAGCAAGAAAAATGTTGTTAAATGGGCAGAGAGGTGCAGCTGCTACTACAGTAATGAGCAGTATTACAACCTGCACTCACTAATAGACTGGATGAAACTGTATCATCCCTGGGGAGCAATTAGGGCATTTTTTTCATTTCATAATACAATTATTATTAGGTATTAACAAGGCTAAGAGTCTACAGCCAGGCTAGCACCTCTGTGAGGCCTTCCAGTACTTTACTTATCTCGCAGTGCAGGTATAATTTATACCCTGTTCATCATAGATTAGTGTGTTAGCAGTCTAACATTTGCTAATAAGCACTAAATTCAAACTGTCATTAGTTTTGCAGTTTTTATCATGAACGGTGGCATCACATGAAAAGTCAGGCGATCGCCAAAGTTATTACAGTCCATCCTGTGGGAGACCAAGTGTCCTGGCAATCTATCCAACATGTTAACCTCATGGTGGTGGTAGAAGAGGGGGTAGGTTTCATCTTCAGGGCATCCTCAAACATTTTAACATTATTTATGCAGTGAACTGACTGCCTGCCCTTTTAAATTACTTTATTCTTTTACTTTTTGTTTCATATTCTCATATTTTTTCAAGCAGACATAATTAAAAACTCATTGATTTAAATGTAAGTGTAAACAGATTTGCACAAATATAAGCGTAAAACGGTGAAATCTCTCTGCATTGAAGACATTTTTCTCTTTTCAGTGAAACGATACTACCTTCTTTTTCACGACCTGGCATAAGATTTCCAATTGTTACAAATCAAACCAATAAATGCTACTAAATGATATACAGTTTGCTTCTGTAGACCACAATGATCTTGTCAGGAGAGGCGGTAAAAGCTGAAGCCACTTCTCCCTGTTTTACTACTTATGCAGTTAAATGCTTTTTGGCTTGGCCTTGTAGCTCCGCTTTAGCTCATTTTTCACGACTTGGATATCACCAATATTTGTCTTGAAGAACGGCCGGGTGCCAAAACCTCTACAGTAAATTAAGCAGCGCTAACGTGCGTGTGTGCTGAAATGTACACAACCAAAGAGAGCTCTTTGGTGTGAGTGTTGCTTCCATCTCGTATCGGTAGCAAATCTCGTAACTCAGACTTTTATGGGAAGTTGGGAAAAAACAGACTGGGATTGACAAGCGCTTTTGATATATTGTCACGGTGTCTGTGTGGATCCTGTGGGCCTCAGGGTCTTGAAACTTGCTCCAGCTTATCAAGAACCTTGTAAGCCTTCGGTTCAAGTAAAAACATGAACATAGGCGGCGTTGCAGGGGGAAAGCTTTTTCTTTTTACTGACAGCAGCGACACAGAGGCGTGGAAGTAAAGTCGAGATTTTACAGCAGCGTATCTAGTTTCATCAAAGGCCATCAGTCATGTGCTAGACTTTCTCCTCTACCTTTTATCCTTTTAGAAATGTGACTCCCCCATCGCATGCTGCTTTTTTAACCTTCTCCTCTCTCTCTGTGTCCTATTCTCGCTCGCCCTCTGTCCTTCTCTGTCAGGTCACATGTGAAAGTGATCAGCTTAATCCCGATCACCAGCTGTGTTTAACCTACTTTAGATGTGGAACACTTGGCTTCCTTGCGTTTACTGTTGTTTATATGGGATTAGCATGAACTCACACAAGCGCACGCATGAGGTTTGACCTGCCAGGGTTTGACACGACGGCTCCTGAATGTTTTCACTGAACCATTTTCATCCGCCCTGCGTCATATTCATTCACGTCAAAGCCTCGTCTGTTCTTTATGTGCCTTGCTTAGTGGTAATCAAGGTTTCAGATCTTTCCCCACCCACTTTTCCTCGGCTACTCATTGGATTCAAACTGGCAACCTTCCAGTTACAATCCTGCGTCTCTAAACCCAAGCAAATGCTGCCCTGAGGGGTTTGAATGGAATTGAAATTGAAATAATCCAAGTGTTGCTTGGTATGCTGTGTCCTCACTATCTCAAAGTAATAATAATACTAAACTTAAATATGCAGCACGTCCTAAACCAGACTTTCCAAAGTGCTTTAACAATCAAATAAAGCAAACAACAGACCCGTAAAAAATAAAGAAAGCAAGTCACAGAAAAAAAGCGACGAGGCACCACAGCATAAAAAGATAAAGAAAGAAACCAAAAACAGTATGTTGGCAAAAGAATTATAGGAGAGTATCATCACATAAAAGCGAGTCTATAAATGTAATTTGTAAGATGTGATTTAAGATGTGAAGATGATAGTGGTTCTGCTGGCCTAAGCTCCTCAGGCACATTGTTGCTGAGCCAAAAGCCCGGTCACCTTCAGTGTAAGCCAATGCTATTTTAATGCACTACAAAAAAAGAATAAAGAATAACACTGTCCTCTCTGTCTCTCTCTTTTTTTCTTTCTTTTTTCCACAGGATCCCGGACCCTCACCCCCGTCCCCCACTTTGGGACACAAACCGCTGCAGCTGATCGAGGTGAAAGCCAGGGGGCGCTTTGGATGTGTGTGGAAGGCCCAGCTGCTGAACGATTACGTGGCCGTGAAGATCTTCCCGATCCAGGTATTATACTGGAGCTTTTATTGACTTCTGACCACTTTCATGAAGCGTGTAGGTGAATTAGTTAAATAAAGACAGAGAGAGCTCCAAAACACATAAAGTAGTGCTTATGTTTTACTGACTGGGTCTCTGCTCTTGTATAGGACAAGCTGTCTTGGCAGAACGAGTATGAGATCTACAGCGTGAGCGGCATGAAGCACGACAACATCCTCCACTTCATCGGCGTGGAGAAGAGGAACAACAACCTGGACCTGGAGCTGTGGCTCATCACCGCCTACCACGACAAGGTACGCTGTCCGGGATGGAGATACCAGCAAACTTTATCATGTATTTATTTCGTATTTTAACACTACTAAAGGCTTTTCTCACGTTGATTATGTCTTCTGGAGGTTTGAGATTCCTCCTGCATCCTCTTCACCTAATGCAATTATAGCTAATAACTGAAAAGTGTTCAAAAAAAGTCCAAAATATGTTTCTCAGCTTTAACTCCATGTAAGCACAGTTGTATAGTGGTATTAGTCGTCTCATGCTTGCTTTACACAGATCTAAAAAGCTCCAGGACGGGCTGCAGCACTGAAACCTCCACATTGTATTGATTCTGTTCGGTGCCTTAAGAGTTGATCCATCATTACAATACACTTCACGCTGTTTTTTTTCTCGTATAAGCCTTGTTTATCCAGAGAAGCTGGACTCTGTTGGCCCCGTTGTGCTTCACTCACCCAGTCTCGGAGTGTTTTGAGGGTCATTACCGACGAAGTGGAGAGTGGTTCTCTTACGCTTCACTTGCTTGAATATCCCAGCCAGGCAAAGAATTTGAATTGCTGTGATTTAAGAAACCTTCCCTGCGTGAATAACGGTGGAAAAAAATGAAAGCTTATGGGTGTGGCGTCAACCCAACAATACAATTCTTAGTAAGCCACTTAACTCTGCAGCAGCTCTACAAGTGCTACTCTTGATTTGTAGAAGCTCTCGACGTAGAAATAACATTCAAGGACTTTTTTTAAAGGAGTTTTTACAAAAAGGTCATACTGCCAATAATATCAGAAGCACTGTTTAGTGCCTTGTCAAGCATTGGCTGTAATTATTTTGGAAGCAAAAGTCTTTAGAGGATGTGTAACTTAAACTTTACCCTACAAAAAGCTTTTCCTTCTGGCCAGATTTTGAGAGCAGGTGTCAAAGTCAGTTTGGACTGAACCTCAGCTTGTGTAACACAGCTGGAACAGTGATTACAGAGTTCAGCGTCTCCTTGACAGCTGATTTATGCCTCCATGTTTGATGCATCTGAGCGGCTCTACTATCCGTAGCATGCAGGGGCTTGCTTTGAAGGATACAAGCAAAACTTTAAAATCTTTTCAGGTCTTGGACAGCGGATAGATATTAATAGCTGTCGATGTGTCTGTCTAATTGATCTCTTGCATTTTCGTAATTTAACAGCAGTTAACACGGCATTAAAAACACTGAAGGAACCCAGGTACACACACACACACACACACACACACACACACACAGCCAGAGTAGTCCCACCTGGCCAGTGTTGTTGACTGTGTTTGTTT